CAAGCCAATTTTCATCGAACTTCCTATTAAATTTCAATAATAGCAATTGCCCCATTTGAGAATTTCCATGGAAGCGTCTTTGAAGCATTTAAATTGTTGCCAATTTAAAGTCAGTTAAAACAACAGATTCATTTTCAAAATAATAACAAAATGATTTTCGCCGTAGGCAGTGAATCCGTTTATTAATTATTAGCATAAGTTCTTGAATTCGATTGGCATCTAAATCTTTTTAGGGAGTAAAAAGTTTTGATTTACGCGGAATTGCGTGAATTGTGTTGTCAAAGAATTGTTTTATTACAATTTAATAATAAAATTACTTTGATTACAAGTCAAAGAAACTAACTTAAGGTTCCTGAGATAGGAAACAGACAGACAAACGGGCTTGAACATAGATCGACTCGTCTCTTGATGCTATTTTCTTTTGCCTTTTGACAACATTTTGCACTCTTTATTAGATTTTTTTATTTTTCTTTATTTTAAATTGTGATTTAAGAAATATTTGTATATCCCTTGTTTTATTTTAATATATTTTTGTTTATTTAGTTTTATATTTCATTTAAAATTTTATTATGTATCATTTAAATTGAAACTTTAAATGTGTTTTATTATTATTTTATTTATTATTTGTTTTTTAATTCTTGATTTATTTTAGTCCACACTAAATATAATAATTAATTAGACCGATAGCTGTTCAGTTTATGCCCCACTAAAGCATAGGTTGCCAGCTCGTTTAATTAAGTCGGCAAAACGCTGCAATATGCGCTCGAGAGTTTTGCCTCAAAATCTGCGGCAAGTGGCTGCTTCAGATAAACTGACGCTGCAACCAACTAACTGGCAGTCTTGTTGGGGCATGCGAAAGTAGTATGATGATGATGGTGGGGGAGGGGTTGGTTTGTGGGGGTGTACTTTGCACCCTTTTGCACCCTTTTGCACAAGAATTGACATATTGCTGCAGTTCCTGTGTCCTGGCTGCTGCTTGATGATCTCCTGTTCCACTTCATAGCACTAGCAGCAGCAGCAACAGCAGCAACAGCAGCAACAGCAGCAGCAACATCTCCCCCTTCCTCCCTCCCTCTCCCCTAGTCTTGTGCACTTTTACGTATTTTGAACCCGGACTCTGCCTCGCCATCAATCTTCCGCAACTCCCCTCTCTCTCCAGCTGTGCATGCATGCTGAGCAAAAGAAAAAAAATGTGGCTGGACAAAATAGGGTTTTTCGAATTTTTCTAGCAAAGTCGTTCTTTGAATTCAAGTAAAGGGAGGCTCGCTTGCACAAATATTCTTTAAAATTGACTTCAAAACAGAGAATATGTTTACCAAGTTTATTTTCTGTGTACACAAAATATACTTTTTATATAATCAGCATATTCGTTGCTTGCTTGCTTGAATTAAGTACAACAAATCTGGCAAAACAAAAAATAAGTCAACAAATAATAATTCCCAATTTTATTTGCTGTGTATACCAAATATGCTTTTTATTTGATATTGCTTGAGAGCGGTTTGTCAGGCTCGAAATAAGTAAAAGGATCAAATATATATAATAATATTTCCCAATTCTAATTTCCAAATCATATTTTAGATGCTTGATTCTGTTTTTTCCCTTGGTTGGTTTTCTTTTGCCCGGTTCTGCTTTGACTAGTTGGCTCCTTTTGCTTTGCTGATTTTGGTCTCGCACAACTTTCAGCTTCAATTGCGTTTCCGTTTTGCACTCGTTGTGGCATTTGCTTCAGATTGCGTATACGCGCCGTGTTACTGAGCCGATTTGCTCGCTGCTTTTCGACCTACCTTGCTCCCTTCCCTCCCTCCCCCTCCCCCTACCAAAGTCTTTTCCACATTTCGCTTTTATTTTACGTTAGATGTGCGTGCGAATGTGTGTATGCGTGTGCGTGTGTGATTGCAACTTGTGTGTGTGTGTGTGTGTGTGTGTGTGTATTTACGATTCCGTTTTGTTGTTGTTTTCGTGCTTGTTAGTTGTACAACTGCGGCAGCCATTTTGTATAGCATACTTAGCGTACTATGAAGTTACACACACACACACAGAGCGAGCGTGAAGGAGAGCAAGTGAGCGAGAGAGAGAGAGTTATACACACTCACACACACACATTTAGAGCGAGTGGCATTCGTTGTCATATTTTTTTCTACTGATTTTTTCGGCATGTACCAAAAAAAAAGAAGGAAATTTCCCAACTTTTTCGCAATTTCTCTTTTCGACTGTGTTTTTCCTCTTGCCTCGCCAAAAGTAACGATTGTAAGAAAAGGACGAACGAGGACAACAGTTAGCCCATACAAACTATATATATGTATATATATATATACATATATATGTATGTATGCAGATGTATACAACAGCAACAAGATGATGCCAAGAAGAAAAAAAAGCCGAATAAAATGAGAGAATTTCAATTTCAAATACAACAAATGCACTTTTTGCCTATTCCTTATAGACAAAACTGTCTCTATATAGTATATACATATATCCAACACATATACATATATATATATATATATATATATATATATATATGAGCGTGTGTGATTGTGTGTGTGTGTTTGTGTGTGTGCAGGGCCAAAGCGAAATGTTAAAAGTGAAATTATACGACGCCCCACAAATTGTGTGTAGCATCACTTAGCAGCGAGTAGCTGCGGATGCTCAAATATTTATATATATATATATATATATATATATATATATATATATAAATTTGTATGTATATTTGGATTATATATCGCCAGTTATTGAACCATCCAAAATATCTATAACAATCCATAGTAATTTATAAGTAAATTGTTAAAGTTTGATGGCAACCACATTTTGTCTATGTAAAAACTAATGCTAGAAAATCGATAAATTTAAAACGAGTATTTTTAAATTGTTTACTGAGATTTCAGCCTGCCTTATCATTAAAATCCTTCACAGCCTTATGCAGACTTTACGGCAATGCAGAATTTGTGGAAAACTGTGCGGCAGACTAAAATGTTGCAATTGCAGCAGTTTCGTGGAATTTTTGTTATTATAAATAGAACATCAGCATTTTTCTACTTTTGTTACAAAGTATAAGTTTGTTGAAGGAGATTGCTTAGTCTGTGACACCTTAAGTATATATATATATATATTCTGGATCAACACGACTCGCTATTAGATGTAGAAATGCTCATCTAGCTTTGAAGTCTTTTATGAGCAACTCTTTTGTTTACCAAGTTATCATAAGAAAACTTATCACTCATTGAGATCGAAATATTATATCACATAAGATTTATAAAATATGAAATTTTTAAGTGAAAAACAGGCAGTTTGACTCCAGTTTGGAAGGGTATCAAAGCAGCGCCTTGTCTCACTTAGTTCTTTCTTTCTTTCTTGTTTTATGTTTACGAAATATTATTTAATGCACATTTTTGCAGCAGATAAGTTGCCAATTAATTTTATCTGTTTTCATATTCCACGGTCTACGATAAATAGCGTTAACAATTAATGGAATTCAGACGAAGCTGCTAAAGAAATCAATTCACTAGCAATTGATCAACTTTTTGTAGGCAATTTCGATAGAATATATTCAATGCACATGCATAAATATTATTCCAATTTAGTTCAGTGCCTGTGAGCAATCTTTCAAAGAATCCAATCTGCATGCCTGCCTGCCCCACTGCCAACTTCTTGGCAATTAACAGATATATCATTGACCCATTTTTTGGGGCCCCATCAACCATGCAGGCAAGTTGTGAACAATTTCTAAGAGACAAATTGCAAACTGCACTCGCTAAAATGTCAAACAAACTGAAATTCCAGCATCGATTTTTGTTCTTTTTTTGGGGGGAGCGGCGAACCCTCTTTGTTGGCCCTGAGTTCTATTTGGGGGGAGGATTGAGGGAGGGTTGGATAGGCACTTGTGCTTCCTATTCAGTGAGTTTATTGCATTTTTCGTGTTCGAATGCTGTGTTCAATGCCTGCGGCCCTGGCTCAAAACTGAGTGCATTTTGCCATTTGACAAAAACAGTCTCGAGTAATTTGATGTAATTTGATGCCCCATCCGAAAGAAGCCTTCAAGCCTCGACAGCTCCTCCAAGTGTTGCATGCATTGTGGAGCGAGGGGCAGGGGGAAAGGAGTATGAGTGCTGATTGTAAATTTCAATTTGGTTTTTACTTTGTATCGCGTAGGTGATACGTACCCAAAAGAGCCGCAGATGGAGGCAACATGGGTTCAACGCTGGAGGCGACATTGAGGTTTTTGGTCTTTTACAAATGTCAATACGTGGGCATATGTAACGGTATCTATACTCTGACATTAAACTCAGCAGACTGAAAGACCGCAGTCGAAAGCACACAACTAGCAGATACCCTGTAAACAACTGTTGAATGCAAAGTAGACTAGCTTATAATGATTTGTTTAATATGTAAATGACTGTTTAACAAAATCTGTGTTTTCCGTAACTGTTGATCAATAATATATCTATATATATATATGTATGCTCATATGTACATAGCAAGGTTAAACAATTGAGTCTTTTAGTGCTATCGATGAAAGAAACTTGATCAGCTTATGATATAAGAGAACTAATATTACAAATTTGAAGTCCCCAGCTCTTAAAGTCTCTGAGATTGGCTAATTGATATTTTTACAATTGTTAATAATTTCAACATCCAAATTAGGAACATGTTTCTAAAAATGAATGAAGATTGAAGATGAGAAGACAACAAACCTGACAAACCTTTCTTTGCTCTGAAATAAAAAGTATTTCTTTGCTTGAGACTTATGAATACCTTTTTGCACTTGAATTAAAAACTATCAGGCATTATTTCAGTTTATAGACAGCATAATTACTTGCATTACGAAGTGTTTAACTTATCGAACGACTACTGTACAGTCAAAAGTCAAAAGTCATTAGGCCCGATTAATTTGCATATTCTCCAACTCTCGCTTTCATCAACAGATTGTCGCTCAACAAGAATAACAACAACAACAACAACAGCAAAGCTAAGAAATCAACGCGAGACACCCACACACAAAGACACACACACACACACACACACCTACACACAGGCACACACACTGAAAGAATAGCAATGTGCTGCCTGCATCTGAAGAACTTTAAATGCGCATTTCATTTGCCCAGCGCTCAACGTTCCAAATCAGCAAAGAGTTAAGATCGCCAAAGGATCAAGGACAACACAAAAGAATAAAAATAACAGCAGCAACAACAACAGCAAGAACAACAACGCCAACAACAACTGGAACAGTAACAACAAAAAGACCAAACACTAGAAAGTATTCAAGGAGAGTTCCATTTTTGAGTTGAGTTAGCCTCAAGCATGCCACATCCATTGGCCCTGCTGGTGCTCCGCCTGCTCTGCATGCTGCGGCTGGGCTGTTTGATTTGTGCGCAGCGACCGCTACTCAACCACACCTTCAATGCGCTGCCCATGTCCCAGCACCAGAGCAACTACAACAGCAACAGCAACAATGGCAACAAGAATAGCAACAACAACTACAACAGCAACTATTTGGGGCAGGGCAAACAGTTGCGCAACGGTCGGTTGCATGAACAGCCGCAGCCGTTGCCGCTGCCGCTGCCCACATTGCCCGGCCTGGGCGCCCAGCCCGTCCACGTCTACGACGACTACGAGGGCGAGACGACAGCTGGTGGGAGTGACAGTACTTTTGGTTCCCGACCGCCGCCCGGCAGTCGCTGGCATACCCGGCGCCGGCACAATCTCTCACATGTGGGCGCCGGCGGTCTGCCACGCCCCGAGCGGGGCAACGGACAGCGTGGCATGGAATCGCTGCGCAAGGAGCTAATGAAACCATCGGTGGGCGGGCCAGGTGGCGGCATCTCCGGCAGCAGTGCTGGCTATGCCTCCTACTCGGCCACCTCGTCCATTGGCAAAATCGATGGCTTGGGCGGCATCGGCTCAGCGGATCGCTATGGCGAGAAGCTGCGCCAGCCAACTGGTGCAGCTGCCATGACAGCGGGTCCAGCGACGGGCTCATATTCGCCACTGTATGCGGGCATGGATACGCAGCCAATGCGTTCGTATCCGCGCAAGAATTCCATCAGTGAGCTGCTCAAGCTGAAGAAGAGCCTCAACCAGGCCGACGAGCCGGTGGGCGGCGTAACCCATGGCAACATGGAGGGCGATACCGATGGCGACGCGGATCAGCTGGATCCCATACAGCAGATCAAGGAACGCATTCGAGACACAGCGCCCAGGCCGGTAAGTTCAAGTAGCTAGCAAGATATATATATTATATATAGATTATATTCATTTCGAATATCGTAACAACTATAAATTTTAGATCAACAAATCGTTCAGAATTCTGGAAATCGCCCAGAAATCTATAACGTTTTTCTGGTCTTTAGAAACAATTTCTGAATATAGGAAAAAAAAGTATTAGAAGTTAGAAATGAAAATTAAGCATATTATTTCTACATTTTCGAAAAATAGAAAAGATTTTAGGGCGATTTCTTTGTTAAGCGTAAGATGCCAACGATGAGTAGCCAAGTGGAAACTTGGACCCAGATTTTAAATGTCTTAGATGGGATATCTTCAACAACAACCAACGTTTAAGTCGAAATCCAAACAGAACCTTTTCTAATCGACTACGTATCACTATCCTCTACCATTTATATAGAACACCTATGCACCGCACACGGAATCGACACCGTCAACGGAAATTGAGGATTTGCTGGGCGTCAAGTGTAACTTTGAGACGCCCTGCGCCTGGAAGTGGACCGAGCTGCTCTCGGATGGCTTTCAGGTGATCAGCGGCACGGAGCTGGCCAAGAAGAATATGACGGGTCTGATGCCCGGCCCAGTGGCGGATAGCAGAGACGATGCGAACGGACACTTCTTGTATGCCCGGGTGCAGCCGACAACGAAGCAACTGAATCTGACATCGCCCTCGTTCAGCACAACGCTGGAGAAGTGCGAACTGGAGGTGTATATGCATCAGAGCGACATGAGTCATGGCTTATCGCGTGCGGTGGTCGAGCCACTGCATCCGCAGGAAAGCAGTTGGGTGCCCGCCGAAATACAGGGTGACAACTTTCGCACGTGGACACACAAACAGTTTAGACTCGGTCGCATCTCACGCGACTTTCGCATTGTGTTCGAGATTGTGCCCAATCTGAAGCCGGGCCAGAAGGCGCATGTGGCCATCGACAATCTACGCATGGTCAACTGTTTCCCGGAGGGCACCAAGTCGGAGAAGTGCAGCACCTCACAGGTCAAGTGCATGATGAACAAGGTGCCCGTCTGCATACCCCTGCCAAGGATTTGTGACATCACACGCGATTGCGATGATGCCGAGGATGAGCAGCAATCATGCGGTGAGTCTCCTCCTACTCCTTATACTCCTCCTCCCTCTACACATTAGTTCAAGCTCACAATACTTCAAACTTCCTCCTTCATCTCCTCCCCATCCATCTCTTCATGCGGCACTTCTCATCCTCATTCGCCTGATCCATATTCTCCTCTACCTCAGCCTCATTCTCCTACTACTCATCATTCTTCTCCAACTCCCTCTCCACGTAAGGATTGCATAAGTTCACATTCCCAAATCTCTTGCAGATAAAATACCCTATGGTGGTCGCTGTGACTTTGAGGATGATTGGTGCGGCTGGCGGGATTCGGGCAAAACCATGTTGACCTGGTCACGGCACACTGGCCGCTCACCCACCCAAGACACCGGACCCGATGGCGATCACACCCAGCAGCATTTGTTGAACGCAACGGGCGGTTATTATATGCTTGTCAACATGAATCAGCATGGCAACAACTCGGAGAAGAGCGGCAATATTGGATTCGCCAGCAATGCCATCATGCTGAGCAAGAACTTCAATCCGCCGCCATCGGTGCACGGTAATCCGGATTCACCGTATCGCAACTCGTGCGTCGTCCGCTTCTACATCCATCAGTTTGGCAAGAATCCGGGCAGCATTAATCTGTCCGTTGTCGAAATGAAGGAGAAGGAGAACATAACCACAACCCTCTGGTGGAGCACCAAGAATCAGGGCAGCGATTGGCTACGCGCCGAATACGTTCTGCCCAACATCACCTCCAAGTGAGAAACAATAGCAGCTATCCTATAGAGTATCCATTTCTAACCCATATGCATTCCCCTGTGCAGATACTATCTACAATTCGAGGCACGAATGGGCATGCGCATCTTCTCGGATGTTGCCGTCGACGACTTCTCGCTGAGCCCCGAGTGCTTTGGCCTCAACATACCCGAGGAGCATCTAAACGGATATAACTATTGGGACGTCAGACAGAATCTAAAGAGTCCCTCGCATCACGACTTCGAGCACACAAACTGTAAGTGACTGTTTAAGGACCAAACTTTATTTTCCACAAAAAATAGTCAACCTGGAAACAGCTCCAGTTTCCAATGCAATAATTTTGTCAAAAGTCAAACGATTTTGGAAACAGTTGCAAAATTTCCAATAACTTTTCCAAGCTGAAAATATATCCAAGCATAATAACAACTTGTTCATGTCTTCTAATCTAGCTTAAATCTAGATTAAATGGAAATTTATGAAATTATAATTTGTAGTTTTAACACTTTATATCTTGGATCCATTCACAGATTTAGAGCTGACCACCTGCGATACGCGGGGTATGATAGGACCGACACAGACGCAGTGCGAGAGCGCCTACCGGGAGCAGAATCAGAGCCATGTGCTGCGCGAGGTGCATGTGGTGGAGGATCAGAGCACCTACAAGGGCATGCAGAAGTGGAAGGTGCCCAACGAGGGTCACTACACGTAAGTTAAAACCCACCCAATCTCCACTCCCCCAAAGATCTAACTGACGCTTCTTCTAACTTCCCATTATGCAGCATCATTGCCAAAGGTGCTAGTGGTGGCCTTGGTTCCGGTGGCGTGGGCAGCTCGCGTGGTTCTGTTGCTGTCGCCGTGCTGGAGCTGCTGAAGAACGAGGAACTGTATTTCCTGGTGGGTCAACAGGGCGAAAATGCCTGTATCAAATCGATGGGCGTCCACAAGGAAGCTGGTTGTGGCACCGAACACGATCTGGACTTGGCCCAGTACAGTTTCCGCTCCAAGCAGGACATGGTGAAGAACATTTACATTGAGAATGGCGCCGGTGGTGGCGGTGGTGGCTCCTTTGTCTTCCTACTCAATCAGGCCAAGAATGAGGCGGTGCCCCTGCTTGTGGCTGGTGGCGGCGGCGGTCTGGGCATTGGTCAATACATCGATGAGGATTTCCAGCATGGCCAGAAGGCGAAACCACTGCAACCGGCGGAGAGTGGTCAGATCAATGGTGAGCCGCTGAACAAGAAGACAGCCGGACCCGGCGGTGGTTGGCGTGCCAAAGAAGATCAGGCGCTGAGTCCCACCTATGGTGCCGCCCTGCTTCAGGGCGGACGTGGCGGCCACTCATGCTATGTGGAACTGGCAGATAATGGCACCACCGTGCATCGTCATGGCCAGGGTGGTTTTGGTGGCGGCGGCGGTGGCTGCAACACCGGTGGTGGTGGTGGCGGCTATGCCGGCGGCGATGTCTATCTGAACGAGTCGAATGGCGAGGGCGGCACCTCCTACATCAGTTCCAGTCGCAGTCTGCGCGATGCCAGCGAAATCTTTGCCGGCTCCAGCAGTGGTGCCGGGGCCATTATCATAATACCCGCCATCGAGGGTTGTGGTTGCGACTATCGCTGTGTGGCACTGGATGAGTTTAGGTCCAAGGTGCGCTGCATCTGCCCGGATGGCTGGAGTCTGAAACGGGACAATAATACAGCCTGCGAGCGGCAAGAGGAGGCGGGCAAATCCTCCTTCCAAAATCTGGTCACCGGTCTAATGATCTCACTGGCAGTGCTCTTCTTCTGCATTGCGGCGCTAATCTTTATGTTGTGTAAGTTGCAGAAGGGGATTTTTCAATGATGAGCCTACAAAAGTATTCATTTCTCCCTTAGACAATCGCTATCAGCGCAAGAAGCAGGCCAAGCTGCGCCACAAAATGCTTGTGGAGCAGGATTTGCAGCTGAGTCGATTGCGCCACAACATCGACGACTCCAATTTGAATAATTTCAATCCCAACTATGGCTGCGATGGCATCCTCAATGGCCACATCGATGTCAACAGTCTGCCGCAGGTGGCACGCGAGAGTCTCCAGCTGGTCAAGTGAGTAGCATCTCAAAATACATATATCTGTATAGATAGATGTATATATTATTGATCAGCAGCAGAAGTTCAGCAAGTTCGATTTTCTGTTAACAAATGACATCCAGCTTTTGATAACAAATTATCTGTAACATTCTAACGGCAAGAGCATGTCAAATTGAGTAAATGCATGAGGCGCGTTAAGCTCTCTCTTCGGCACAGCATGCTCTAAAAATATCTGTCCAAATGAAACTGATTTCATTAGCAACCCTTGCGTTGCTTCCATTTTGCCAACCAAACTCGTCGACTATCCCTTAAATATAGCTCTTTACAATATGAAAGAACTTATAATCTGAATGGCAAACAACTTCCAACTTTTAATTCGGCGGCAATTGCGTGTACCAAAAACACTGCATGCCAAAGTATGAGAAAATGCAGGTGGCGTCTTATCCCATCTACAACAGCTCCACCTTTCGGCACAGCTGCATAGCCACTAAAGTAGTGTTAAAGTGCAACTAACAGAACCAAATGAGTAATGTTTTAACATAATCCATATTTTGAAAAAGTCGTTACAGTTATTAGCTGCCGCTTAGCAATTAATTGTTAAATAATTTACTTAATAATAACATTCTTTTTTCGTTCAGTGCACTGGGCAAAGGTGCCTTTGGTGAGGTGTATCTGGCGCTCTATCGCCATCGCGATGGCGATGCCGTCGAAATGCCAGTGGCAGTTAAAACTCTACGCGAGGATCCCAAACGGGAAAAGGAGGAGGATTTCCTCAAGGAGGCAGCAATAATGGCCAAATTCAATCATCCCAATATGGTGCATCTAATTGGCGTCTGTTTCGATCGTCAGCCCTATTATATTGTCCTGGAACTACTCGCCGGTGGAGATTTGCAAAAGTTTCTGCGCGAAAATCGAAATACACCGGAAAGACCCTCGCTGCTAACGATGAAGGATCTGTTGTTTTGTGCTCTGGATGTGGCCAAGGGCTGTCGGTATATGGAGAGCAAGCGATTCATTCATCGCGACATCGCCGCCCGCAATTGTCTGCTGAGCAGCAAGGGACCCGGTCGAGTGGTGAAAATCGCCGACTTTGGCATGTCCCGCGACATTTACCGATCCGATTACTATCGCAAGGGTGGCAAGGCAATGTTGCCCATCAAATGGATGCCACCGGAGGCATTCCTCGATGGCATTTTCACCTCAAAAACGGACGTTTGGTCATTTGGCATCCTGCTGTGGGAGGTATTCAGTTTGGGTCGCTCGCCGTATCCTGGTCAGCATAATACCCAGGTGATGGAGCTGGTGGTGCGTGGCGGACGTTTGGGTTCACCCACCGAGTGTCCGGTGGCCATCTATAAGATCATGGCCGATTGTTGGAATCCCACGCCCGAGGATCGACCCACTTTCACCAGTCTGTTGGAGCATCTAACGACCTGCACTCAGGATGCGAGCATTATGAATGCCCCACTGCCCAATATACTGGGACCCACTGCATCCGAACGGGATGAGACTGTCATACGACCGCCAAATGGCGATGAATTCTGTTTGGCTGTGCCGGACTATCTGGTGCCATTGCCGGGCAATGGTGCCGCACATCCTGCTGGCCTCGGCTCCGCTTATGCGCCGACGGCTCAGCAGCGCCAGCAGAGCAGCGCTTGTACACCGCCGGCGGTCACCTCGCCAGCGGCACCCAAACCCCTGCTGGCGGAGCAGTCGCTAGAGGGCACCACAGCGGCTACTGCTGCTGCTGGGGCTGGTGGGGATTGCTGGGAGACGTCGTTCATATTGCCCAACTCGAAGAGCGATCAGCCGCTGTTGAGTGCGGGTGCCATTACCACCATGGCCACGGCGGACTCACAGCGTAATCTGCAGGTGGCAACAGCTGGAGCAGCTGCAGCTGGTGGCGTGGCGACAGTTGCCACATCCAGCGATGAGGCGAAACTAATCAGTTTGGATACGCCGCAGGCGACGCCAACCACAATACAGCCGCCATTGTCGTTTGCCTCGCAGCTGGACGGGATTACCCTGGATCCGGCTGCACTAAGCAAGGCGCTGGCCAATGGAGGTGCTGGTGGCAAGCAATCCTATGCCAATGTGCAGGTGCAGCTCAAGGGGGATGCGGAACGGGAGCGGGAACGAGAGAGCAGCAAAATGAATGGCACGCTGCCAACCGGAAATGGAGTGATTATCAATGGCGGCGACACTTCCGCCGCAACAGTGGCAGTGCCAACAACGGAAATAAGTGCAAATGATTCACCCTTCACCATTCAGGGCTATGCGGAGCGTTACAAGGACAACAACAATCATTCCGAAATCAGTTGTTAAACAAAAGAATACAACACAAAAACACTCACAGGGTGTCTGTCTATTTCTAAGGGTGTCTGCGGCACCCCAATGGCTAAAAAGCTATCGATAAATATCGATACATTTAGTGTCAGTGTCACAATTTGTTTGAACATATTTATAGCAACAAAAAACAACAACAAAAAAACAAAAATCGAGTGAGAAAGAACTTCACAAGAAATTGTATTGTAATTTATAATTAATAAACAAAAACAAGAAAAACACATAAGATTTGTACGCGTAATTGAGTAAAAAAGAAAAACAAATACATAATTACAAATTATAAATGAGATGAGAAATTAGTTGACAAATTAGTTTTAGTTTAGTTTTTGTAAGCCAAATTAATTAGTTTTGCCAATTGCGAAGAGGTTGTATATAAGTAAACAAATATATATATTTAAATATGTATCTTGAGTTGTGCCAAGTATTTTTTGTTTTGTTTTCTTTATTTCTTTATTATTATTATTATTATTAATTTTATGTTTTAAGCTGATGACTGAAATGCTAAACAATATTCCTAAAGAAAACCAAAATTTAAATTTCGATTTTTTATATATATATAAATATATTCAAAGAAAAACAGACAAAAAGAGTAAGTGAAATAAAAAACAATAAACAACGCATAGTCATTTATTAATTTATTAACTAATTTACTTTTGATTTTAGTTATTAAATGCAACGTAGTCCATATACAAACATCGAGCATATATATTTTGTATTACCCCGATCTTTTGTTACATATATATACATATATATATATATTCGTTTCCGTATTTGACCTGTAAATAAAAGCTTCCGTCGTAGCATATGAACTTACGTATTTTATATCTAAGCTAAATGTAGCATGTAAATTATATATATATATACGCATACATATATATATATATATATATATATATATAAAGAATATTGAAAAAGAAAAAAAAACTACAATTTACAGGGTGATTTTTATGAAAATTCAGTTGTATGTTTACAAAACGAAAACAAATTAGCATTAATGAAATTTTTTGAGAAAACCAAAATGTGTTTTCCAATTTTCTTTTTCTTAATTCTCCTTTTTTTCGTTACATTTTTGTTGGGCTCAATTTTGTGTTGAATTACAAAGAAAAGAAGAAAAATTAGGATGTGTACAAAATATTGAAATATTTTCCAAAATGTTTGCGTTGACCAAGCAAAAAGCGAGACAAAGAGAAAGAGGGAAAGAAAGTGAGAATGAAAGAGAGCAGCAACAGCTTTAATTGTGCCACTCGCATTTGTTTAAATAATTAAGAGAATGAAAGTGAAAATAACAACAAACAAAAAAAAATAAATTAATTAATAAAAAACATATATTCGTTGTTTCTGCATGTGTTTAACTGCAAGGTAGAGAGGTCAAAGGTCGCGAGTTGGTTATTCAAATTGTTTACATTTAGTTCAGACGTAACAAACAAGCTTTAAATTATATAATTTTTATAAAAATATATATACACATGGCATTAAAAATATACAACAAAGTAAATGGCATACATATTTATATTTAACAACCAAAAAACTTGATAAATTATACAAGACACACACACACAAAGAGAAATAACTAAAAAAAAAAATTGGAATCCAAAAATTGGGATGAAATTGCGAAAAATGATGCGCCCAATTTAGTGAAACAAATATTGTATGAACGACAAACATTTAATTTATATGATGTATATGTATATCTAAAATGTAAGCATATTCAATGTGTGTGTTTAAGGTGGGCGTGCTAAATGTGCATGTGTGTGTGTGTGTAGCCCTCGCAAGCACACACACACACATATGCACCCAAGAACGCATAATAATACAAATATAAATAAATATATATATATATATATTTATACATGTATATTGCTTATGTACATCATATATATATATATAGGTATTACAACTAAGTTGAAAGCAAAGAATTCAAATCAAATAAATATGCTCCACATTAATTCACAAATAAAAACCAAAAAAAAAAAACAAAAAACACAAAAAAAGCTTCAAATATATCTCAACATCCACAGCTTAAACAAATTTAGAACTTAACTTTAAACTAAACATTTTTGCTCAAATGCGATTTATTTGCATTAGTTGATGAAACTTAAAGAGTACATTGCACACACACACACACATATGTATGTATGTATGGAGGTGTGTGTGTGTGTATACATTTATACTATGTACTTACTTATATGTGTATCTATTATGGTTGTGCCGAGGCATGTTGTAAGGGCGTCTCAGAAAAACCCCCCAAAAAAATACAAAAAAAAAAACAAAAAAGCAAAAAATACATACCCAACAAATATGCGTAAGATGTAAGCGATAAAACGTATTAATTTTCAACACTTTATTATATTTGATTTGTGGTTGTAGTGGATGGATTAAAATTGCATACAATACAATTGTCAAGATTAATTGTCGAATGGCATTTTTTGCATCTCCATTAACAGCTTACAATCCACAACGAAGTGAAGCGAGCAACACATTGAGAGAGTCGTCAAGTGGACTTCGTGTGATGAGAGCGGCGAACCGAAGCAACGAGCAATCGTGTCGCTGCCGGCAAGTGTTCGGCTCCGGGCAGTGCTTGCTGAATGGTTTGCGTCTCCGCTCTCCGCATAGATGGACAGATTGTGGACGCTCGCTCTGTGTGTTGTTTGCTTGGTGGGTTCCACATAATATCCACATTGTACCCTGAATATGACTCACCTTGTGTACCTAAGTCCAGAACCTGAACAAGATCTACATATTTATCTCTCACACATACGCACACACACACATACACACGCACACACATAAACATTTGTTAATGTTGGCGCGCAATTCAAAAGATTTTTGGGTACTTTTTTTATGTATATTTTGCCAACCATCCACTGCTGCCCAAAGCCAGAGAAAACATATTTATACAATATACACAAATATATTTATATTTAATGGTAGTAGGCATTTTTTGTTATAATTATTTTTTTTTTTTTATATATCGCCAACCCAATATCAGTAGTTTTGGATACACTTCATTGCTCAACAATAAAATGTCGCAACGAAATTTATATAAAAAATGAAGAAAGAAAAAAAAAACAAATATACAACAAATACTATAAAACAGTGCGCATTATTTAAGTGAATAAGTATATAACGAAAAAGAAAAAACAACAATAAATCGTATTTTTTATATACTCAACAAAAATGAGATGTGGAAAAATCGCGTTGAATGCAAAGAGTATATAAACAAATAAATTAAAGTTACAGGCGTAAATTAGCTCTAGCTATAAACAAATATTAAATATATACATACATATATATATATATATATAATAATGTCAAAATTGAAGGTTTTCATTTAAATGGTAAAAATTATTTTGTTACATTTAAAGCAAAACAAAAGAAGATGATGATGAAGATGAAGAAGAAAAAACAGAAACGTAAAGACTAGAACAACATTTTTTGTAAGCAGAAATGTGAGTTTAGATCGAACAGGCAGTTAGTGAAAAGTGTGCTAAGAAACAAAAAACAAAACAAAAATAATAATAAAATAAATAAATATATATATTAAACTAAATATATATATATGGAAATTGTTAAAGGGGCGAGAGCAAGAAGCATAATGGATAATGAGAGCAAAAAAATAAATAATAAAGGCAAAGAAAAGTGAAAATAAAAACGGCACTTAAGCATACAAAAAAAAAACAAGTCCATTTAGTGTTTACTAAAAAAGCAAAGCAAAGCACATAAAAAACCCAAAAAAATAATATAAAAACAATAAAAATTCATAAATACATACGATATAAGAAATGGAGGTTTTTTGCTGAACAAATTCTCAATCGAATCTCTCAATCAAAATAAATAAGTCAACTCTTAAAATATATATTCAAAATGTGCTTGAGTTAGGAGAACTATTTATGATTTTCACAAATGAAAAAACCAAAAAACCGAAAACAAAACTATTTCTAAATAAAACCACCTTTTTCTCAAAATACTCTACATGTCTCAAAATCAAGCCCCGTATAAGAAAACAAAATGTTTGTGTACAATTTAATTGAGCACAAAACAAACAGAATTTCTATATGAGAATATATTTGATTTTTTTATTTTTTTTTGTATGTCTTTGTTTTTTTGTCTATGGCAAAGAATTAAAATGAACTTGCTCTTTTAATTCTATACTCACAAAACATCTCACAAGCCAAAAACCAAAATGAAAAAAAAAAAAACAAAAACAAAACAAAAATATATAAGTATGTATATTGAGAGCCGAAGTAAAAAGACAATTTTAAAGATGGTAGCGTGTAAGCGCATGAATTGTGAAAACCGCAAGTGAAAAATAAATAATAATAAATGAGAATTCATGTGTACAAAAAAAAAAAAACAATACAAAGTGTTTTCATTATCCGTAGAAACAGCACAGATAAATAAATATAAAGAAATATTACCCAGTCCCATCGATTTTGAGAAAAACACACTGTTGGTTTTTACAATTTCCTTAATGGTTTTTATTTAATCTTTTTTCTTTAGTTTTTCTTTCTTCGTCAGTTTTCCACATCTTCTCCTCTAATGAAAAATTACTAAATTCAATTTATTTCGCATGCCAATAAGAACTAAAACCTTTAATAGCGTTTTACAATTTGTTGTTTGTTTTTTTTTTTAATTTGTTATAGTTATTTTTCATAGTTTTTTGTGTTAGTTTATATTTTTTCACTAGGCTCTAAATTTATATATAAAAAAATAAAACAAGAATAAAGTCGAGTTTTAATTTTTTTTTCGTTTTGTATTTTTGTCATTATTTTGGAAGTGTATTTGTTTTGTTTTTTTATTGATGCGCTGCAATTTACAAAAAAAAAAAACGACGTTTAAAATAATATATAATAAATTCTAGGCATAAAACATAAAAATATTAATTGCACGAAATATATGTTTTGGAGAGAGATAAGAGCCCAAAACCAATGAATTGGGTTCCATTTGAATGGATGGTTGGGGGATGGGCAGATGGGCAGAAGGGAGCAGGAGGGGGCTGAATGCGGCGCAGACTGGGACTGGAAGATGTATCTAGTAGAATTGGATGACCCTGTTGTTGCTACTAACTGGATGGAATGTTCTTACTATATGTTTTGTTTTTTGTTCTTGTTGTTTGTTGTTCTTTGTGTTATTCATTTTGAATTTCGCATTTTTTAATTAATTTATATTATAAATTTAATAATGACGTTTCGCTAATTGTGTATACAATCTCATGTCAAAAACTTTGCTCAGTTATATATATATATATATATACATACATACATATACATTATATATGTATATATAAAGATTTTCATTTGAATTTTAGGCTGCAAATGCTAAGAAATTATGTTCTGATTTTTGTATATATAAATATAATTTTTTTGTTTATTATTTATGGGTTTTGTATTTCGCTTCATTTTCGCCATATATTTTTGTTTTGTTTTGTTTTGTTTTTTATACATAAATTGAATTTTGTATATTTATAAACGGTTTGTTTTCTTTTTTGTTTTGTTCAATTTTTGTTCTTTTGTTTTTGTCGTATATAATTTTGTTTTCGCATTTGTGTTTTTTGTTTTTTGTTTTTTGTTTGTAATATATAAATTGAAAACTTAATTGTAATTGTAAAAATGTTAAAACTAGTAATAATATTTATAATTAATTAATTAGCATAGTTTACGTTACGTTTATGTAATTTAAAGCAATAACAAGCCATTTTTATAGTTTTTTTTCTGTTCATTTTTGTTTTTCTCTCTAATCATTTTTGTTGCCTTTAAATAGTTTTTGTTTTTTTTTGTTTTCTGATTTACTAATTACTGCAAAATTGCTTCATTATCTTTGACATAGTTATGTTTACTATATATATATATATATACTATATATATATCCCCATAATAAATTTAGTACGAATTTATCGTCATCTCAAGAGTTTTATGTGTGTTTGTGTGTTTTTTTATTTGCGAAGGTGGAATATTTTATTTGTATATATATATATGTACATATATATACATATATATATATATATATATTATTTAGTTTTATTATATATATATTATAGTTGTTTTATTTTTAATTTGTATTTTTACTTAGTTGACTGCACAAAATTTACAAAAATTACTTCTTCAACTCGCCAACGAGAGTGAGAGAGATAGATGGAGAGGGGTAGCTTGGGGGAGGGATAGAGGGATGGGGTAGATGGAGGGGTGGGGGTATGGGGGAGAACACCGACCGACCGACCGACACCCTTTCTTAGAGAGAGGCATTTTAAAAGTATCTCAAAAAATTGCACAATTTGCGTCATAATAACACCTGACAGCAGACAGCAGACACAACACACACACACACACACAGGTGTGTACAGGTGTATGTGTGTGTTAATTGTTGTTGTTGTTGTTGTTGCCATTAACCCGTTGCATCTTGTTTTTGTTGTTGTTGTTGTTGTGGTTTGGTTTTTACTCGTTTAACATATATAAAAATATGATTATAATTATTTGCTAAAAACCTCTAAAATGTAAAGCATTTAGAAATTGCAAGAAATATGAAGAACATCACCAGACAAGAATTATGCTGTTGTTGTTTGTTTTGTTGTTGCTTGTTGCAAGTTGCTTGTTGTTTGTTTGTTATTTGCTTGTTGCTGCTGTTGTTGTTGCTGTTGTTGTTGTTGTTTGACTCTGCCATCAGCGTTTAAAGCCGGTTAATTACAAAAATGGTATCAAACGCGCGATTTTCAGCGCATTCTCGAGAAAAGCACTCCAAATATCATTCAAACGCTTCGAGCGCGACATGAGAAAACGCCAGGTGATCAGCACAAGCACAACTTTGACCAGCTGATGCAGATAGTACAGTCTGCAATCGAAAGCAAAACATATATATTAATTATATATAGTCGTAATATATATATCGGGTTCATTATTTACACACCTGACCATGCGCTTTCTGCTGGCTGGCAGCGATTCGGGCCGCTGCTTGAACAAAAACTCCCTGAAGCCCAAAACATAACGTTCCACATATTTATCCCAGTCAATGTTGCGCACATCGAATACAAATATCTCACGATCCTTGGGACTCAGCGTGTGCAGCAGACCGTTCACATTGTCGTCCTTGAAGCTCCATTGGCGCGTGGCAAAGTATTCTAAGCATTCGACAGCTTTGGCAATTTTATTTTGTACATTGACAACACTGAAAAACAAGGGGCGCAAAAGGAAGGAAATGTATTAGTATTTGTAAGTGAGCTTTGCTGTGTAAAAGCTCAAAGCTGAAAAACTTTGGTCCTTAAACCTAACCTCTAATATCATCTTCTAGAAATTTGGAATATGTACTTCGAAATGAGATTGAGAAAATGAAAAGATAAGACCAAAATCTGCATTATTCATTCTAGAGTCTTATCTATAAGGACCTGCAAAGATAGATGAGCTGCACAGCTCAACTCAGTTTGTGTAAAAGCTCAAAGCTGAAAAGCTTAGGTGCTCCAATCAAACCTCTACAATTTCAAAAAAAGAATATGTTCAAAGTGAGAACAAACTTGAATCAATGTGTTTCATTATAGAGACTTGTGCTTTGCCTAAATCTTGAACGCTTTCTTAAGCTCGATGATAAGCTTGAATTTACCCCATGATTTTTCTGAGTGTACTTACAATGGCTTCTTGCCCATGATGCGCGCCACTCCATCCAGTATGTAGGCCGGTAGAAAATGTGATAATATACAGTTCAGCGTGTTCATTGGACGATTCATGCGCAGTACGCCAGTTGGATACCACAGGCAGCCCTCTGCAAGACGATGAACGATTAAGGATTAAAGATAAAGGATTAAAGATTTGGGATTTCAGACATACCCAAGGGATGTTTGCGGACGCTGCACATGGCATGTTGGACAAACTCAGACCAAATGATTGGATTGCGTTGACCGGTACAACAATTGTATATGAGTAAATTAGTGGATTTACGCGTCGCTGTGCGCCAGGCGGCGGCAATCATCAGATTAATCACAATATCGACAGGTACCATATCGGCCACATAGTTCTTCTCGCACATCATCGTGCGGAACATGCCCTTGGCCAGCGCCGAGACCAGACCCGTTGGCCCATTGAAGTTATCCACCCAACCGGCAAACGGTTCATTCAGACTGGCCGTCACTAAAAACCAAAAATAAAACAAAGAAGAGAAACACATATTATATTAATTCTAGTATTTCTAGATAGGTATTCATCAGGGAAAGTGTTCTTAATGGGTAGCTTGCAACTACCTGGATAACTAGCAGTTGTTCAGTCAGTTAATCTGCCTAACAAACTGGTACTAATAACTATTGAATTGGTGTAGAGAGTTTGCTGGACCTTTTCAACCTACCAATTGAGGGCCTCACAATGGCAACGGGCAGATTGCCAGCCTCCTTAAGTAACATATGCTCCGCTAAGGCTTTTGTAAATGTGTACGTATTGGGGCGCTTGCCAATGAGTCGAGGTGTCAGCTGAAGGTGGTCCAATAAGAGAAATAAATAGATTAGATTGAGGAAGTTGGCACATAGAGTTAAGGGCCAAGGTGAGCCGCACCTGATCGAGTATGTCCTCCGGAAGCCAGTTGATTAATGAGATGATATCATCGGGATTATAGGGTGGTGCATAGATAACCTCAGATACATCGGTTCTATCGCAATTGCAATAGGCAGTGGACACATGAATTAAAGCCTGCCAAAAGAAGCACAATTTTCACTAGCTGAGAGTTATATTGCGGATATAGCTGGTACTCACGTCTAGGGATATCATGCGATGACAGAGCTCGACCAAACGTTTCGTGCCCAGCATATTGATTGTGACAGACAGTTTGAGCTTCTCATCGAATTTCACCGTGGCAGCTGAATGAAAAACAACGGAAACGTTGCTACAAAGTAGTTTCTAATAGATAAAGATAAAAATAAAGATGAAGAATGATAAAGATATTTAGAAAGGTATATAGTAGTATAGTGAGTATCTGTATTTTCATTTAAATAGCTTCAGAAATCTTATTTTTACTTTTACTCTTTTTACTTCTTGAACTCGTTGTTTCTTTTTCGATTGATTTTAAATGAAATTCCTCATTTAACTCATTTAACTCACCTGATCGTTCTCTGAGATGCCCAGCTCCTCGGATGTTATATCACCAGATATGGGTATGACTTTGCTCAATTCCTTGGGCTTCTCGCGCCGCAATGATTCAAACAGCTATTTGATTCAATGATTCTCAATTAGTTTTTACGTTTAGTTGGGGATTCATTTATAGATCTATAGTTACCGGTGCATTTAGCAGTTCCGTGAGACGCGTGGAAACCTCCTGGCCGCGTTTCGGTCGTATCAACAGATATATGTTTCTTATATCCGGACATGAGCGCAGTAGTTTCTCCACCAACACCTAAATTCAAAATATAAATCAAAATAAATATGAATTTTAAGATATATACATCAAGGTTGAGTTATATATTGAGATATATATCTGAACTCTAGTTACTTAGAATTCGTTTAAATATTGAAGTTTATAAATTGAATGCTTAAATAATTAATGTGAGAATTGTTTACAGTGTAGTCTCTCTCTATCTCTGTCTCTTTCTGGCGCCAAACTAAACACATTTCCAACTTAGAACCAAGTCATACTCATTAGGCCATAAACTATAATTATGGTCAACCAATCAGGCAAAGCTGAATGCCCTTTAGTCCACCCCATCTCCTCCCCGACCTCCACTCCCCACCACCTCTTTCCCAACCCCACACTCTGCACCCGCTATTAACTTGCGCCCAGTGAGTTCAAGTGAGCAGACAAAGGACATCAACTTAATGGTTAAACGCAAATCGAGTGGTTAACAATAAACACTAGTGAATGTGGATGTGAGTGTGAGTGTGTGTGTGTGTGTGCGAGTGTAAGGGATAGAGTGACGGGAAGAAGAAGCACTGCAAGCAGCTCGTGACACGCCCAAAAAAAAAATGAACAAAAGGCAACGAAGTGAAAATTGTACACAATGAAAATTACAGTCAGACAAATAATTATGATGACAAGTGCGGGAAGGTGCGGGAAGGTGCGGGAAGAGGGATGGGTAAGGGGTGATAAGAGGGTGTTTGGTGTTGAGTGGTTGGCTGGCTTGGGCGTTTCCTGTTATGACGTACAGTTTGAGCAGGTTATGGCATTTAAATAACACTGCTCTGGATTACAAAATCGATAACAGCAGCGGCAACAGCAGCAAAGACAAATAGCTTTTGCCACACTGTGCACTTGGGTAGCAGTCTGTGCGGCGCCGACGCCAGCGATTACATGTCATAATTGCGCTAGCAGGAGGCATGCAACACACAACACACACACACACACTCGCGCACACAGATATGCAAAACCATGTCTGAAATTGGCACAACAACCGAAGGATATTTTACACAGTGACAGAAAAAAAGACTAAATTGAGTTTTACATTCTAAAAAGAAATGTTGTTATTCAGCTGGGAGAGTTTGACTAGAAGCTACCCTGTAATCAGAAATAGTGAAATTACTTTCTTCAATATGAAAATACGTTTTTGTGTCTTGATGAATAATGTCTGAATATATTATTTATAAGTTGAAAGGCTATATCTGAAGAATCGCAGATATTATTGTTATATACAATTAAATAAACTTAATTGGGATATATTTTACGAACTGTCTAACTCTTATAGTCTCTGAGATCGGCTATTTCACGCAGTTAGACAGACACCGCTGTTCTTCCTGTTCAAGAATATATATTCTTTAGGGGTTTGGAGCTGTTTACTTTTGCCTGTTACATACTTTTGCACAAAACCATCATACCCTTTTCCCTTTTCCCTTTCTAAATTATTCATTTTAGCCTTTAAAGATTTCATTCATTAATATTTCAGGAATATGTCAAGAATAACTACACTAAGACTCTTTTGTGGAACTCGCTTTAAGCATACATTGTTGATCTGGGTTTTGAGCCAGTTAGCGCACTTCTGATATGTTTATTCTTCAAACAATTTCTTGTTCTTAATATAAGTTTATGCTTTTTCACAGTGTACAAGTCGAACCTCGCGTCGAAGTATGAAGTATGCCAAATAATTGTAACATTTATGTGTATGTGTGAGTGTGTGTTAGTCTGTGTAAGTGTGTGTGTAAGTGTGTAAGTGTGTGTGTAAGTGTGTAAGTGTGCTTTAGACATGCCAAGACGATGAGTCAACAGCAGTAGCAGACTTTACAAGCTGAGATGCGCTTTAAGCAGTCTTTCTCTGGCTCACTCTCTCTCATTCTTTCTCACACTCCGTCTCTCTCTCTCCCTGTCTCTCTATTACTCATTATTTCTGCCAATAACTGTCTTTCCATTAACACCTCCAGTTTAAGTAAACATTTAATAAACAATTTGATAGATCGATAGATATAAATACATATAAAACACAAGTATCCGGAGATGGCTATATCGACTCGGCCGATCAATATATATAACAATTGGGTCGTTGACATCCGCTTCAATGTGTTACACAACAAAATATAAGCACACACGTGGCGTATGCGTGATTTCTATTGAGTTTTATACGCAGCCCATCAAAGTAGGCAATAAAAATTGATTAGCATTCGAGTTGAAAGCGGAGCTTAGTACGCTTAACCCTTAAGCGTGTATGCGCACTTTGACAGACTTAACCCTTAAGCTGAAGTGTAAACCAAGTAAAACAAGTATTTGCACTTTAGTAGTGTTAACCCTTAAGCTGATATTTAAATGCATTTGGCAGAGTTAACCCTTAAGCTGACGTTTGAACCTTTAACTCATAAAAGCACTCTGCCAATGTTACCCATTCCGCTGTCAATAATCTCAACTCTGGCAAAGTTAACCCTTAGGCTGAGCACAAATCAGTACTCTCTCTCCCTCTCTCTTTATCTCTAGTGCTGTAAGCTGTCGATTAATTGATAACACTCACCTTGCCCATGAAGCCAGTGCCGCCCGTTATGAACACGCTGCGTCCGGCATAAAACTGTCCGATGGACACATAGCTGGCATCATCAACTCGATAGCGTTCGTAGGGTGACTGCGTGATGCCATTGCTGGGAATCGCTGTTGCTGGCGCTGCCCCATTGAGCAGTACTGCTGCTGCTGCTGTTGTTCCAGCATTTCCGCTACCGCTGCCACTGCCGCTGCCGCTGCCACTGCCACTGCCACTGCCGGCGCTGGCATAGTTGCTGATGCCGTTAAAGAGACTATTGGTGCGCTGATGCACTGAATGAGTGCCGTTCAGTAAAGAAAATGCTGCATCGCTGCTGCTGTTGTTGTTGTTGTTGTTATTGTTGTTGTGGATGTTATTGCTGCTGTTAATGCTGCTGCTGCTGCTGGTGCTGTGCGGTTGCTGTGCGGGCTGTGGCCTCTGTTTGAGGCTCTTAATGTTATTGTTGCTGCTGCTGTTATTGCTGCTGCTGTTGTTGTTGTTGTTGTTGCTGCTGATGCAGTTTTCCGTTTCTGTTTTGTTAGCGACGGCGTTTGACATGTTCGTTGCGTTCTTTTATTGCCGTTACGTGCTGTTATTACTGCTACTGCTGTTGTTCTTTTAATTTGTTCTCCTCTCCTCTCTTCTATTCTCTTCACCTCTGCTGTGTTCGTTTCTCTTTCTCTTTTTACTTATATGTTAGAGCTTTTAGGAAGCAGTTTTGATCATTTGCGCCGTTTAGCTAAAAATATTAATGCCTTATTGTTCAAATTTCGTTTTTCGCTATATTTCTATTTTTTCTATTTGGAAGTATTTTTTGTTGTTTTTATTTTTTTAATTTCTTGGGAAGTTTTCGGTTTGTCGTTTGTTGTATTTGGAACACTTTCTGCGGATAAATTTGCCTTTGTGCTTCTATATATTTCTTCTTCTTTTTGCTGTTTGCCTTTTTTTAGCTAATTATTGTACTCAAATTTCATCGAATTTTGCTGAAAATGTTGTTCTTGTTGCTGCTGCTGTCGCCGTTGAGCGTTTTTCCATTTTCCTTATTTATGTTTTTTATTTTTATTTAATTTGTATTGTTGATCGAAAATTGTGGGAGAGACGCGCAAGGTGTGTTTGTAGAAGAAGAAGAAGCAGGAGTGCAATCTGTGTTTCCGTTTCCGGTGTGCTAAATTTATGTTTGCTGCTTGGCTGTAAGACAGAGAGAAATAGAAGAGACATATTAATATTTAATCTAGACATCATTGAATATACTGAGTATATATTTGTACATAGATTACTAATTTCTAAAATAAATAAATCGCAATCGATTTGCGAATTTGCCTTGATTTTTAATATTCAAAAAATAAATCTATTTCTATCGACGCCAATCAACAGTTGGCAGCCAATTATATAATATTTTATTTGTTTGCTGACCTCTTTTTTTACATTTGAAAATGTATTAGAAAAAACAAATGTTTTTTGCCACAATATTCAAGTGGGCTGTAATGCAGATTTGAGCCTTGGATACAACTTTGATATAAATTGAATTAAATTTTTTTTTCCATGTGCGGATTAAGCAAACCAATCATTTTTAGATTTGACAAAAGACAGCTGTAACCGTTTATATATTTAGCCCCAAAAAAACCGAGTGAGCTGAGGAGAGATGGTTGCGGGGATGTGGGGGTGTTACAGCTGGGAACCCACATCAAACAGACTGACAGACTGAGAGGCAGGCAAAGAGTCTTTATGGCTGTCCATCGATCAGAATGATAAACGAAGCAAGAAGAAGCAAATACCTAAAAATAGTTGCCTGCGACAAATGTATGTGACTGAATGTATGTATGTGTGTGTGTGTGTGTTAGTCTGTGTGTGTGCGTATGAGGAAGCCAAAAATGTTTGTCATTCAGTAAGAAGAAATTTTGGCAGTTGTGACGTCGATGCTACGATTTGTTGTCCTTCAAAAGCAATGACGTCTAAGAACCAAAATAAAAAAACATCAATAAAAATAAACAACACAAAATATAACTTTCGTTAGTATCCTTTGAGGCACGCACACACACAATCACGAGTTCAATTTTATGCACAATTGAACACAAAGGATATTAATGCTAAAAAGCTCCTTTAAACTTTAAGCTGCTTTAGCGAAAGCACGTTGTTTGAGCTTTGTGTTGCTGTCGATATCGATGACAGTTGACGAATGCGAACGCTGCCTGCTGCCGCCAGGCATTCTATATTGAAATGTGTTCAATTTGCTTAACCGACTTGATTGACAGACATATTTCACACACACACAAAATCTTACACTTCTCCTGCTGTTGCATCTAGGAGCAACTTGAGTTAGTCGTAAAGCAATCGCTTCAGCTTAACTGTTAATCAGATGCGCTGTAACAAAATGCCAGAGTAGCTTTTCAACAGAGGATGAGCGAGACAGAAGAGAGAGAGAGAGAGACAAAAGCTCAATTCAGTCGCTGAGCTTACAAAAGCGCCCAATTCTTCGTTCTAAATGCGGGCATTAAATGCATTGAGCAATAATGGAAGAAGCGTAGAAGAAGAAGAATTTCGCTCAATTTGTTTTTGTATGTTAACTCAACATGTTATGTTATTTTACTAGCTCAACTGTTATATTACTTGCAGGCACAACTGTTATACGACGACTCAAATGTGTGATCACCAAAAAACCCAAAAATTATGAATTAAATATGTATTTAAATGAGATACACCCTAAATAAACGCATATGCTCTGCGGAATTACCTATCCGCTTATTGACGAACTAAACAATCGTCATTTTTTCTCACTAAACTCAAGTTGTGAAAATTTTTATAAATTTTTGTCAACACAAAAATGACAACAGCAACAACAACAACAAATGGCAAATGCAAATGTTTTTAAGTGATTGTCGCGTTGTTTTAACTTTAGCAGAAAATAAACCGTTTTGTTAGAGCTCTGCGGGTGAATGTGTGCATGTGCTTTAGATGAAAAGAACAAAGAGAAGAAAAGTGGAGAAAAACTCCCCAAGTATGTGTCTGTGTGTAGAGTACATCTCACCTACACATATTTATATAGATCAGGGTTCAAGTTGTCTCACACGTAAACAATATAAGCGATGTTGTTTCCCCTTTCCCCTTCCCCCATTCCACCTTTCGTCCAACAGCAAAAAGTACAAGTAAGAGAAAGAGACAGAGAGAGAGAGAGAGAGAGAGAGAGAGGGGGGGAGCAGGGACTTTGCACCTAGCGAATAGGGAAATTATTGCCGTAATTGCCTTTTGCTAATTACCATAAAAAAAAAGGCGACAAAAGCAACAACAACAACAATAATCAGCAAACTATGCGAAATTCAAATATTGAACATAGGCAGGAACTGTGAATGCAAGCAATGATTTTTTTATTTTTTTGTTAGCTGTGAGGAAATATTTTTGATGTCTCTATTTGAAATGCGTCTTAACAAAAAAAAATAATAATAATAAATGCCAAGTCCAAAAGTTTTTAGGGCCAGCCCATATCCATGGCTTTCACTTTTAAATATCTAAATTCCGCAATTGGTTGTTGTTGTTTTACTTTTTTTATTTAAATTTGGTAATATTTTTGTCTCTTTCGTTTTCGAAACTTTCGTTTTCATTTGACGTACAGCAAAAATCTATTTCCAGACAGAGCGAGAGCGAGAGAGAGAGAGCAGAGATTTCAATTTTTTTGTTAGTGTTTTTTTTTGGTCATTTGTGTATAAAAATGTCTTTCATTGACGCAGCATTTATTAGTTTGTTAAGAAATGTGTTAAAATGCTTGACGAAATTGGCACAGCTATTTTTTTTTTGTTTTGCCCCCTCGCATCAGAGATATTATCGAATCATTTCCGCTGTTTTTTTTTTTGTGGAGAGGCCAGCAAACAAAGTGTAATTAAAGCTTAAATACAAGAAAAAAAACTTGATCTGATCTGATGACAATCGAACAGAGCAGCGCAAAGCAGAGCAGCGCAAAGCTCTCTCATCGCTATCACGTAACTGTAAATTTATCAATGGAGCTTCCCACTTGGCAATCCAGTTTCCAGTTTCTTTCGGTCAGCCACTTCTTTAGCGTCCGCTGTTGCTGCTGCCGCTAGTGCTGCTTCCTCTTCATCTTCTTCTTCTTCGGCAGGTCGCTCATTCTAAAGTGAAATTTCTTGAAAATCAACTTTTGCCTTCCCCTCCGCTGACTCTCTCCTCTGTCTTGCACCCTCTCTCTTTCTCCCGCTCTCTCTCTCTCTCTCTCTCTCTCTCTCGCTCTCTTTCGCTGGTTAAAAATTCGCGCGCACAGCAACTCAAGACCCATCAAGTAGCATGCACTGACCCACCCCCCTCCACCTGCTGCTGCAACGAACCACGCCTCTCCGCGTGTTAAGCAAACATGAAGACCAAACTGTAACTGCATCGATGTGTAAAAATGTTGAATGCGTGTCGGTGTGTGTGTGTGTGTGTATGTGTGTGAGTTTGAGTGCTGTTAAACGGTAAACATTCAACCTGCCTTGACAAGGTAGTTACACTGTTACTGTGTGCATGTGTGGTTTTGTGTGTATGTGTGTCTGACCCATTTCCTATAATCGTGCCGCGTATCATCATCATCATCATCATTGTCATCATCATAATAATCATCAGCGTCATCGGCAACAACAACAACAACTGTCTATCATGCGACGCTTTTGGTTCGAGTTCGAGTTCGAATTCGAGTTTTGGGCCAATACCCTTGCCAAATGACAGACAACAATCACTTGCTCAATGGGTCTATAAGCCCACCTCTCCCCTAACCACACCGTCCTCTATTACGCCCCTTTAGAGTAACAATTATTCATTATTTAATCGTTGACATTTATCAGACTTGATTTAAACTTGGCTTCAGCTACGAATTTCTCATTTTATTTTAATCATTAAGTAAAATATTGTGTTCATTGATTTTGTTTAGCTCACTTAATTAAAAGTTAATATTAATGCGATAACCTGTACAAATAAAAGTAAATTCACCTTATTATCCAGATTTAAATACCGTTCAAATAAACATTATATTATATATATTTACATAATATACAAATGACAAGCCATTTTTTCTTAATTCCAGGTTCAATTTCTGCAATTTGAGTTTATCGATTTCCTTTCAGATTTCAATATAAAATTGTGCACATAGTTGTGTGTTAAGCGATTTCTCATCAGAATTTTAGATAAGTTGCTAATTATTTATGCACACTAACTTAATACATTAACTAGACATTAGTCTAGCATTGCATCAGTGACTAAACAAATTATCTTGTTAATTAATAAAACTTGAAATAAGTTTGCGGCCCACAAGCTGAGTTAACAGAAATCTTTCTATTTATCCAGCTTATATAAATAGTAAACTAACTTAAATTTTGAAGAATGGAATTTAGATGGAGTTTTTTATTTACTGCCTACATACATATACATATTTATATTTATTTAAGTATAAATACATATACATATACATATGTTATGTATAAATTGCAAAAAAGAAAAGAAGCACAAACTTCACGAAAAAGGTCTTGAGAAAAACGACATATTTCTAAGAAATGGCTCTTAATTATTTCCCCAAGTTTTCATTCATTCATTCATTCATTCATTCATTCTGTTCTTTGTGGTTTTTTTTCTAGTTGCACCTTAAGTGCTTTGTTTTTAAATACAACTAGTTGTTGTAATTGTTGCATTCTGTTTTTTACAAGCTGCTTTTTGTTGTTGTTGTTGTTGTCGTTGTCGTTGTTTTGCATTACAAGTCTTTTTATGGTTGTTGGGCTATTTTCGTATTTTGCTTTTTATTCTTGGTGTTGATTTTAGTACTTTGTTGTCGTATTTGAGTGAAGATTACGACGAACGAAAGTTTAAATCAAATATTTTCACTTTTCAACAATGGGGCGCAACAGCAGCAACAACAACAACAACAATGAATACATTCATATATGTAAATCCCGAGCGGATGCAGCATGAACACATGATGGGTCTGTGCCCTCCTCTGTTCTACTACTATACACTATTGAACCTTTACAGTCCCCTCCCTCGCCCTCCTCTCCACCCCTTCCCTTTTGACCCAAGCCCATTTACAGTTATCGTAAGTTATCTATGCTTTGTGTGTGTAATTGAATAAATCTGAGCTAATCTATCTGCTGGATGTATACGATCTATGTATCTCTTCTTTTTTCTCTTTTTCTCTCTCTCTCTCTCTCTCTCTCTATCTCTCTCGCTCTCTCTTTCTCTGTATCTCCCTCTCTCTTTCCCTCTCTCTCTCTCTCTCTCTCTCTATTTCTCTCTCTCTCTCGTTCACTCTCTGGCTGTGTCCATAATTTGCCTTTTGCGTTTTGATTAACAAACAAAGCGCGCTCATCGCAGTTTACAGCATAAAAGCTAAATTTAAATGTTTATAATGGGGCAAAGCCGAGTGAAACGTTGTCGTCGTTTACCCCTCGTCTGCCCTACCCCTCACCCCATGCACAATTTCCCATTGCAAGCGGGGCAATTGAAAAAAGAGCTCAGCTGACGAGAGCTGAGCTCAAAAAAAGAAAAAAGAGAAAAAAAACTTAGTTATTAAATAATTTCACAATTAGAATTTATATATGTATGTAGGTGTATTTATTTATAGCTAAGACTAAATACCATTTAAGACAAGAACAATGTCTACAGTTTCAATTAAGATCTGCCAAGCCTTGGCTAATTAACCATGCAAATATATAGATATATATGACAACATATGGTGATATTTGCTGATTGTACACACGAGTCGACATTTTTGGGCACTTTTGATTTATGAAATTGCGTTGCAATTTTTGTAAAATGAAGATTTATGAATTGTGTCCCCAAAACAGAGAGGGAGAGAGCGAGAGACAGAGATAGAGCACGTGAGTTGGATTAGACAAAAGCAGGGCAAACAGGGCATGGAAATTCGACAGAGAGAAGAAAGCGGAATTCTTATGTTAAACACACCCCCCTCAAGTCGAGAAGAGAACTGGGCAGGAAGAGAAGCATTTCGAGAAGAATTTCCATCAAATTAATGGGTCTCAAGTGAGACTTATGACAACCCATATAAGAATGTTCTAGTCGAGAGAGCTCGACTTGGAGAAAACAACAATGAAATCAAGTATTGAGCTTGCCTCAGTCTTACAAATATTAACCAATTCATAGATGTGTGAAAATGTGGTAATATTTGGTATATCATTTTAAGATTAGTC